AGCTAGCTTATATTAATTTTGGTTCATCGTCAGCTATTTGTTTATATTATTACATTGTTCAGACTGTTGTCCTCATCTTTATTGCCATATTCACGACGATTCGGCCGTTATATGCCCCGTCCTTCTTCAGGAGATTGCAATTTCGAACTGAACCCTTCATTTCGTCCACCGGGGAAGATTCTTCCTAGTTCTATACGCTATGCCTCTTCCGAGTGTCTCAGTTAACTGTCTTTAACTCAACTCTGTTCAACACTGCATTAGCCAGCTATTGAACTCAAAACACTTTGGGTCAAGTCACTCGATCGAACCGACACATTTATCCACTGGGCCATCCTCTCAGAAATATAGACAGACATCAGGTATTTGAGTCAATATTTTCCGTTAATCCAGGTTTTAAATGCAGACGATAACAAATTAAATAAGTGATATTTTTTTTCTTTTCGGAATTTTAATTATACAATCTGTAAATCTTATTCACGAATGTTTTGTTTCATTCTGCAAAAAATATTAGAGACAGAAATGTTTGTTAAATTGCTACCTCTACTTTTTTGATGCAATCATGTCGGACATTTAATACACAAGCTAATGGAAGGTTGAAATTGGCAATTTATGTGTTCTGGTGAGAAGATTGTGCAAATCAACAATTAAAACAATGCCTTGTATGTCATCAATTCAATTATACCGTCTGACCGAGTTAGAAAGATTTTTTTTTTTACGTTTCTGATTCTTTATAGGAATTTCCTGAGCAGCAAATTACATCTAGGTGAAAAGATATTCCAGTAAATCCACTATAAGTCCCTAAATATAAATCCACCATAAATCCCTGTACCATGTGATTGATGATTGAGAAATTTTAACTGAACACTCTTTGATTCATACTCTACGTGTAATTGATTTGTGCCACTTGTATCAGTGTTGCACTCTAGCATTTATTTCTACATGTTTATACAGTACAATACTGTACTGAAATTCAATGTACTGTGTCCCTAGAGGACGTAGACGATCTTGGATATCAACAAGTACCTCTCTAAATCTGGCTACGGCTTGCCTTTTTGCTATATTTCCTAATCCCTGTTCTGGCAAACGTAGGTCCTTCGGTGCTTCAATGTCATGTGAGTGTCATGCTCTCCAAAGCGCCTTTCCTCATTAAATGTCCTAGAAATGTCTAATGTCTCTTTCTGATTCTAAGTTTTAGATTGGAGACACGGATGAACCAACCTCTTTCAACCAGTATTCCCAAGTGAAAGGTGGGTCGTTGATGCATCAGCTTCAGCAAATACGGAATATTTTATTAAAAACCGTATAGTCCAGAGATGTTGTCAGTATTGAGCAAGGCTGATACTGATTATTATTTTTTGGACTCAATATACATTAAGTCCTACCAACCATCTCTCTGTAAACGTGAGTAGTTTAGTAGCTTAAAGATCTTTAACCTTTAATTTTAAATTTATTTCTGTATATAACATATATCTGGGTTTGTAAATTTATTTTTTATTCTAATTTTTATCACAATGTTCCCTAAAACTAAGTTGTTGCTCACTGTTGCGCTCTGAGTCGTCTCTGGATACCGATGCTACTACATAAAACGTCATCAACGAAAACGACCATTTCTTTTTGTTATTCGTTTTATTAAGATTGATAGAATCGATTCCCAGGGGCAGCAGGATGTATCACGTCACAAGAACTCATGTCGTATGTTGGCTCATGCTCCCCCCCCGTCGGTGGTCTTAACCTGTCGCTAATCTGTGCGGGGGAGGTATATCGACGCTTCAGGATTTTTGAGACACTCTGTTGAATTCGCGCCCTTTTGGACTTATATCCAATCACCAGACCAAAGCAATCTATCATTGTCAAAATACCACATCTGAGAGGTGCTTCGGCCAATCGCTGACTGTTCTGGCTCTGGACTTCGCATTTTATAACATCACATATTCTATATATAGTATTCTCAGAATCAATTAACATTATCAATAAATTCAATAATCAAGTCTATGTTATGTATAATACTTAGGTCTGTATCACTTCATTTTATTTATTTCGATTTATTTCGAAGAATGAGGAAACAAACACGATCAAAATTTCCGTACAAAGTACAATACGGTCTGGATTTTTTATTATTATTATTATAATTTTATGGCTTTCTTACCTGGTCGTAAGTCCTGACTGTTAAGCAGTAAATTTTTAAGTGAGGATTGTTTGTAGTTAATACATTTGCTTACTTCGGATAAACAAGAAATGTTTCCTTTTATTATCCCCTCCAATCATTATTCAGAAAATTCAATAGTAATATCTTTTAAAATAAAATAATAAATTTTGTTTTTACATTATTTACATCCAATTTAATACCCTCGTCTTTGCGAGTGTGGCCTCGAAACATCTTCGGCTGTCGGTTGATCTTTATATCTTTCATGGAATTTTTAAAAAATGAGTCCTTAATTTAATCTCACAACGTCTATTGTTCACTTTCCTCTTTCTATGTTTAAGGTTATCTTTTTTTATTGTTTAATACTGTCCAGTCGTTGCTCGTTCGCGAGAAATTCCGATACAGCCACAGGGGAACGATAACAGTTTGCCGCTGTTTATTTAATAAAGTGTTCAGCTTAATATCCAATAAAGTTTACCCAATTTCACAGACACTTGAAGAAGTCTGGAAGGTAGATCGGCTACAACAGTGTGATAAAAATAAAAGTAATGCTTTTAGTTTGAACATAATGCAAATATTGATAACTCATCATCCCAAAAATTCAGACAAAATTATGAGAAGTTTGAAAAGTAAGTCTATGATTAGACTGTGATACAAAATAGAATTTAACCTCTTAAAAATGATGACATAAATAGAGTATGTTTTATCTATATAGGCTAAGTCAGAAAGAAAAACAATCATTAGACGCTTAAAATTAATTTACATTTAAAATCTGTCCAACTTATGTAAACGCCATATATTTCAGAAGAAAAACAACTCTTTTAAAAATTTCGTATATTAATGTCGATAAGACATTATAGGAGACATATATATTTGGTTTATTTATCCAACAAATGTTCGTTTAATGTTTTAAGAGTTTAGTCTAATCTACTATTTAACTTGTTGTTGGAATAAAAGATATAGATTCATACCTTTTCAAACGGAATTCGTAAGAAAGTGAACCGTGTGTATTCTGAGAATACTATATATAGACTAGTTTGAAATTGGAACTCTGCTCGACGAGTCCTCTTTCAGCCACAATAATTCCTATCCTACTCACTCATACTTACTCCCAACTATCCATATACTTATATGTACTTCTCTCTTTCTCTCACTCGCTCCCTTTCTCTCCTCTCTCTTTACCTAACTTTCTTTTCTCTCTCTTTATCAGCCTTTATCTATCTTATCTTTATCTCGCCCCCTCTGTCTTCTGACATCTCTCTCTCTCTCTCTCAGTTCTGTAACTGTTTCTCGTCTGTCTATCTCTGTTTCGCGCATCTCTTTCTCGTCTCTTCTCACTCTTTCTCACCCGTCTCTGTCTTTCTCTCAGCCTCTCTCTTTGTCTCTGTCTCTCTCACTCGCTTCTCTCTCCCTCTCTCTGTCTCCTTCTCTCTCTCTCTTTGTCTCTGTCTCGATCTCTCTTTGAGCCTGTCTCCTGCTTTTCTTTGTCCCTGTCTCCTTCTTCCTCTTTGTCTCTGTCTCGTTTTCTCTCTCATTGTCTCTGTCTCCTTCTACCGCTTTGTATCTGTCTCCCTCTCTATTGTTCATCTATGTTTTAGATGTTATCAATTTTAAAATAAACCAATAATTTATCTCTGGTTAGCACATTCTTCATTCAATGATAATAAATTGATGAAATGCAGTTCGATATATCTTCCCCATTCATCTGTTATGAATCAATTCCAGCTTATGCATGATATGCTAAAGTCTTGAAACACTGATTTCCAAAGTACAGAAAGTCTTTTTCTCAAGAAGATCAATCTGTACCATTCTTGAGCATCAAAATAGAAAGCTGAATTATTCTTTCTTGGGAATATTCCTATGGAAAAAAAAACTTCCCATGAGCAGAAACTAATTCTATCTCCGTGTACATATAATCGAATGAAGAAGGTGGTTGAGTTCTTCAAAAAATCGGAATCACCTGTGAAAAATAAGATGCGAGTAATTACTAACAGGTGAGAAAAAAGAAACAAAACCAGATGAAGAGAATATAATATCCAAGGAAAAGGGAAAGGAAAGTTAATTTTAACGTCCTATTAACACCATATTTTCTTTCTTAAAATGGTTTTCACAAATAAAATATTTCAGTAGAAGTTATCAAACTAATATATCTGTCACTGATAATATAAGAACGGTCAACAAATATAAATAAATCCTTTGCTATATTGGCCATATTTTCTGTCCACCATATTTTTTGTAAAAAAAGACGTTTTCTTTACTTTAAGATTATACAGAATGTGTAGGTCAGAAAAAAAGTTAAAATGATTACTGTGGTGAATGTTATTCCAGGCACCCATCATACTGGTCTGAACTTTAGTCCGAAACGACTCGAACTGAATAGAACTGGTTTGGATCCTCTGGGCGTTGAATGTTGTGAGTGATGGAATGTCTTTATCTAAGTTTTGATATAAGACTGTAAAAAAAAAAAAAAAAAAAAAAACGACGGAAAAGGGCAATGTAGTTGTGGCAGTAGACAGTTGGAAACATTTGATGATGGTCTGGATCTTTCTCTCCCAGAATAGTTTGTTTAACCCATGTTTATCAATAGAGACACAGGATGAAATTGACGTTCGCACGCTCACTCTCTCTCTCTCTCTCTCTCTCTCTCTCTCGCATTCTCTTTCTTTCTCCCTCTCTATTTCTCTCTCTTCTTTTGATCTCTCTCCCACTCTAATTCTTACTCTCTTTCTTCTTCTTTGTCTCTCTAATCCTTATTTCTATCTCTCTTCTTCTTTTTCTCTCTTCTTCTTTTTCTCTTTTCTTCTTCTTTTTCTCTCTCTCTTCTACTTTTTCTTGCTCTCTTTTCTTCTTTCCCGCTATGTTATTTTTTATCTCTCTCTCATATTCCTTATTTCTCTCTTCTACTTCCTCTCACTCCCTTCTTCTTTACTCTCTTTATCTTCATTTCGCTCTTCTTATATGTCTATTTTTCTTCTCTTTTTCTTCTCTCTCTTCTTCTTCTTCTTCTTGTTTCTCGCCATTCTTTTCTTTCCCTCTCATCTTCTTTCTCTCTCTCTCTCTCTCTCTATTTCTTCATTCTTTCTCTATTCCCGTACTTTCTCTCTTCTTTCATTTTCTCTTATCCTTTCTCTCTCCCCTCTTCTTTATCTCCTTCTTCTCTCTCTATCACTCCTTCTTCTTCTCGCTCTATCTCTCCTTTTTCTTCTTTCTATCACTTCTCCTTTTTCATTCACTTCTTCTTTCTCTCCCTCGTCTCCTTTTTCTTCTTTCTCTCTCTTATTCTTCTTTTCTATCCTTTACTCCTGTCTCTCTCTCTCTCTCTCTCTCTCATCTTCTCATTTATCTTCTCTTCTTCTGTATCTTTGTCTTCTTCACTTTTATCTTCTTTTTCTTTCACTTCTTTATCTCTTTTTCTTCCATTCTCTTCGTTTTTCTGTCTTTTCGTCTTGCTCTTCTTTCTATGTCTTCTTCTTTCATTTTCTACCATCTTCTTCTTCTTCTTCTTCTTCTTCTTCTTCTTCTTCTTTCTCTCCCCCTTCTTGTCCTTTCTCTCCCCTTCTTCTTCTTCTTCTTCTTTCTCCCCCCTTCTTGTCCTTTCTCTCCCCTTCTTCTTCTTCTTCTTCTTTTCTCTCCCCCCTTCTTGTCCTTTCTCTCCCCTTCTTCTTCTTCTTCTTCTTCTTCTTCTTCTTCTTTCTTTCCCCCCTTCTTGTCCTTTCTCTCCCCTTCTTCTTCTTCTTCTTTCTCCCCCCCCTTCTTGTCCTTTCTCTCCTTCTTCTTCTTCTTCTTCTTCTTCTTTCTCCCCCCCCTTGTCCTTTCTCTCCTTCTTCTTCTTCTTCTTCTTCTTCTTTCCCCCCCTTCTTGTCCTTTCTCTCCCCTTCTTCTTCTTCTTCTTCTTCTTCTTCTTTCTCCCCCCTTCTTGTCCTTTCTCTCCCCTTCTTCTTCTTCTTCTTCTTCTTCTTCTTTCTCCCCCCCCTTCTTGTCCTTTCTCTCTCCTTCTTCTTCTTCTTCTTCTTCTTCTTCTTTCTCCCCCTTCTTGTCCTTTCTCTCCCCTTCTTCTTCTTCTTCTTCTTCTTCTTCTTCTTCTTCTTCATCATCTTCTTCTTCTTCTTTCTCTCCCCTTCTTGTCCTTTCTCTCCCCTTCTTCTTCTTCTTCTTTCTCCCCCTTCTTGTCCTTTCTCTCCCTTCTTCTTCTTCTTTCCCCCCCCTTCTTGTCCTTTCTCTCCCCTTCTTCTTCTTCTTCTTTCTCTCCCCTTCTTCTTCTTCTTCTTTCTCCCCATTCTTGTCCTTTCTCTCCCCTTCTTCTTCTTCTTCTTCTTCTTTCTCCCTTCTTCTTCTTTCTCTCCTTCTTCTTCTTTCTCTCTCTTTGCTTCTTCTACTCTCTCACTTCTTTTTATTCTTCTTTTACTTTTTCTCCCCTTCTTTTCTCTCTTTCTATAACTCTCCTTTCTTTTTCTTTCCTCTTTCACTCTTCTTTCTCTTTCGTCTTCTTATTTCTCTCTCTTTTATATCTCTCTTTTTCTTCTTTCTCTCTGTTCATCTTTCTCTTTTTCTTCTTCTTTCTCTTTTTCTCTTTCTTCATTCTCTCTTTTTTTCACCACTTTCTCACTTCTTCACTCTCTCTTCTTCCTCTTTCTATATCTCTTTTCTTTTTCTTTCTTCTTCTCCTCCTCCTCCTCCCCCCTCTCTCTCCTTCTTTATCCCTTTCATTCTTTTTCTTTCTCTGTCTCCCATTCATCATCTTTCGTTTTCTTTCTTCTTCTCTTACACTCTCTTTTTCTCTCACTACTTCTTTTTCTTCTTTTTCCCCCTCTCTTTTCTCCTTTCTCTCCCTTCTTCTTTATGTCTTCTTTCTCTCTCTCATCTTCTTTCTATCACTTCTATCTCTCTGTTCTTCTTCTTCTTCTTCTTCTTCTTCTTCTTCTTCTTCTTCTTTCTACCGTCTATCTCTTTATTTTCTCATTTCTCTCTCTTCTTCTCACTCTCTTCTTCTCTTTTGTTCTTCTATCTTCTTCAGTCTTCTTTCTCTTCTTTTTCTTCTCTCTTCTTCTTTCTCTTGCTCTTCTTCTTCTCACTTCCTTCTTCTATCTTTATCTATTCTTCTTGTTCTCCTCTCTTCTTCTCTCACTCTCTCTATACTTATTCTTCTTCTTCTTCTCTCTCTCTCTATCTCTCCTCTCATAATCAATGCGTACTCCCCCTTCCCCACAGCCTATAATAAAACTAAATAAAAGGCACCCGAGGAAACTTTTCCGTCGTTAAATCAAGTTAATACGACGCTGGTGTACCGAATATGGAATTTATAGACCACAACACTCTAGTGACTACAGTCAACACCACAATTTAAAGGAAGCCGAAGCAGGGACCGGCTGAAAATTAGGGTTAATATGAGTAACAGAGCTTATTTTTCGAAGCAATTTTGAAAAATAACTAAAAATAATACTGAGTTTATGAAATGAGTTATAATTTTACATTTTCTATGGCACATGAAATAAATATCATGTTTTTTGGTAAGAAATTTCCAAATTGTTAAATATCAACTTTTGGATATTTTCGGATGGATTCAGTTGAGTCACTTCATTTTATTGTATATCCACTCATATAATATCAAGATCTGTATTTGTATTATACTTGAGTCTATAGGCCAGATTCTATTACTAAGTTTATAAATAACCGATCAGATGATTCATACTTGAAACATTAGTTGACTTTTAACTTTAGTCTATTAATAACTATCGGTTGGTTTTACAATTTATTCCTTAGAGCAAGGAAAGTTTCTTCCATATATAGATTTATTAAGACTTTTCTTTGATGCGTCTCTCGTCAGTTAATTAGAACCATGCAGAAAAATTTTCCCGCTCTCTCTTTCAAAATTTGCTCATTGTACATCGATCGCGACAAAGCAACCGCTGTTTTCTCTGTAGAAAAAATATCTTGAAATGGCTTGATATTTTTCTACTAAAGGCATGCAGTACGATTTCTATGAGCCATGCCAGTATGGGTCTTTGTATAATTGGGAAGACATTTTTTTCTTGAAATGCAAAACATCTAAAATAAGCCTTATGACTAATTCAGTAATAAAAGAATATCAATCTAGTCACCTTAAAAGTTTTGTTTCACATACTCACTTAAGATCGATGTCAAATGATTTCATATTTATGTGGCATTTTGCAAATAAATAAATAAGAGGGACTGTTCTCTAATATTCGAAACTCCAACTATATTTCTGCCGACACTTGAGTTTGAACATAGATCGCCAATGAGCAATCACAGGCAATCACAGGCAATCCCATTATTGAATTAAGTGGATCACGTGACTTTAGAGGAAATGCATTAGAAAGTAGCCAGGCTTCTAAATAATCGTATTTCTACTCTATCCTCTATTACTATACGAACCGATATTCTCTACTCTATTCACTATAGGATTTCTCTATTCGGATCACTATACGGATTATTATTCCAGTGAGTATCATCAAGCAAGTACTATTATTGCGAGTGTTAGTCGAAGGCGTCTGGCACCAGTATTGTTCAACGGCGTACTATAAGTTGTATTTGCGATTACAAAGTCTGTACTACTACTAGTTTGACGAAAGTGATAACGAGTATTCGTTGGCGTCAAAAAGTGGTAACGTGTGTTCGTTGACATTACAAAAATTTCAAATTTATAGTCAGAGAAATAGTTTAATTTTGAAAAACAATATGCATAAGATATATAAATAAAAGTAACACAACAAATCTTGCGTTTTTCGATTCATGTTTACCCAAGAGTATTTCCGCGTAAGTTAATATAACAAATCTGACTAGAATTCGAACTTGGCTTTCTGATTTCTTACTTTGTGTTATTATCCATCACCCGCTCATCCAATCTGTCTGGTTAATCCCTCCTAATTTCCAAAACCGTTAGTTGGGGACGCTCTCCGGACTATAAATACTCTACGATAATTTTTCGCAGCATCTTACCTTATCTGCTTATTCGTCAACATGTAAATCTTTCGCAGAGAACGCGTTCCCTTTGGGAAATGCATGCACAATGTACGCACACACAGACACACAGACATACGTACGTACATTCACCCATTTCACATTTTGAACCCAAACGCATTAGGTTATATATATACAGACTTAAATAGACATTTACACACGTTTTTCAAACCGAGAGCGAGTGAAGAAAATATCGACAAACTTCTCTTCTTCCTTACCACGCACGACGGACACTAAAACCTATTAGCAAAAACAATTTACACAGTTAAAAATTTGTGATTAGACTCTATGAAAGTGCAAAATGACTAATTTCAAATACTGCAACATATCTACACATGAAGTTTTCCGACCCGGCAAATAGATTTTTTGTGCTACACGTGGCACCCGGAAAAATCGCTATCGCCTTTCAATTGCTTCTACATTGGTCCATCAGTAGAGAAACAACACACGCCTCTTCCCTTCCTGCAGTATACGTTGACATCTTGAGTCAATATACAGGCTTCTCAGTCATTTGAAAATATCGACACTACAAATACAGCAACATTATGCACGGTTTGACCTCAACCGGCAAACTTCTTTTAAAGATTTCTTCGACAAAACGAAATTTTTTTTGGTTTTTTTGGGAGGTCATCAGGTAAAATGTGACATATCTCAAAAGGCGACACAATGTCTTTATTTTCACTCTGCGGCAATGACATGCGAACAACAACAGTCGGTAGAAATTCAACTTTGCCAAAACACTGCTTCTATTAATTTTTTGGGCCAAATTTATCAACAAATATTAAATAGACGAAGAACAGGAACCAATATGACGGGACGACAAAATCATTTCAACATGGAACACTGGGAAAAAAACATGTTTTAATTGCAAATGCCGAACAATCTACACTACCGACAAATCTTCCAGGACGTGTTACGACACTGTCTCGCTGGAGAAAATAATACAGACCCCCCACCACCACAATGATGACAGCACAAGAACATTCTCGTCAACTTCCGACTCCTTTTCGTTTTAGCTCACAAGGATAGAAACAAACCTACACGAACTTTACAAATGGGCAGAAAAATTTTACCCATATGGAGGGGAGTATTGTCGGGTTAACCCCTCCCAATTTTCGAAAGCTCTACTAGGGGATGTTCTCCTGACTATAAATACTTTTTCTGATAATTTTTTGCAGACTCTTCTTACCTTATCCACATATTCGTCAACATGTAAATTTTCGCGGTGAACCCGTTCCCTTTGGAAGCGCATGCCCAACACACACACACACACACACACACACACACACACACACATAAACACACATACATATGAAGATAGGAACATTCACCCACTTCACGGTTTCACATTCATTTGTTACATACATCATTGTCTTTGTCACTTGTATATCTTTATTATTAATACATTATTATTTGTGTGTACATATATATTGGTTCATGTCGTTTCTTTACCTTTCTTTACGCGGACTCACATCCCAAGTCCGCCAGTTTGTTGTGAGTTTTTCAGTAGACAGCGTGCTATTCCCAATTTCAAACGCCTACGTTACTAACGCCCGAAACAAGTTGCGAAACAAATAACTGACCTACAACACACTTTACAACATTTGGTTTTCCGAAGCGGCCGCCCATTTAGGTACTGACTAAGCTCGCCGTTTCTTACCTTCGGAATACGGATGAAAACCACTGTTTCGACATGATATGGCCGTTAGCATTACACCTCAAAAATTGAAGTGCAAAACCGCGTATAAACTTCGAGAGCTACTAGTGTTTCATGGATTGATAAGAAAGCAATTAGATATAATTGAGCTTTGCGGGTTGAGCTGATTCGACCAGTACACAGACATGGCAGAAGTGAATAGGCGTTCACCGAAACTGTTTATTTTATTAAACAAGTAATTTATACAAATGAAGTAATTATAAATGGTCATATATTTAATAACTAATACTTGGTTGACATCCCTTTTGATTTTTTTAATGCAAGGACCCTTCTAGGCATCCTAGCGATGAGTTCACGAATATCATCTTGAGGGATTTCTTCCCATGTTTGACGAAATAATCCTAAAGATGGCTTCCTGTTCTTTTTGTGGAGTTTTCGATCTAATATGCCCCAAAGGTGTTCAATAGGGTTAATATCCGGGGACTGACTTGGTCATGGAAGTTTATTGATCCCATTTTGTCTCAACCAATGTTGCGTTGCTTGAGCAGTGTGACATGGAGCTCCATCTTCCATAAATAGGGAGTCAACTTTGCTCATTCTACTACTTGAGAATATTGGAAGGAGCCCTTTCTTTAATATAGAAAGATATTTGGTTGAATTAATGTTTCCTTCACACTCCACAAGCTCTGAGTGACCATCACTCCAAATTGCACCACATATCATTACTGAAAAGACCCCATGTTTCACCGTTGGCTGCAGTCTTTTTAAATCAAACTCTTGACTACACAGTCTCCATACCCATACTCTTCCACTGTCAGAAAATAATGCGAATCTTGACTCATCAAAGAAAATGACTGGTCCAAAAAGTCACATGTCTCTCCACCATCTCATGAGCCCAATCCTTTCTGCATTTGATATTGGCTGAACGGAGAAGTGGTTTCCTTCATGCAGCTCTGCTATAGTAGCCCAGCTTGTGAAGATACCTGACAGCTGTTCTGGGACTGACATCAACTTGTGTTGCTATGTCAGAGGCCTTGCAACGTGGATCCTGTTCAACATTTCTTTCGACAAGACGCATGGTTCTTTCAGAGGGCCCAGGGCGGCCTGGATGAGGTTTTGTGCACTTCTTGCCCTCTCTGGTGAATTGTACGATCACTCTATTAACCGTAGAAAGGGGTATTGAAAGATTTTCAGGCATTTTTCTTTGACTAAGACCACCTTCATGTTGGCCCACGATACGTCCTCGCTGAAATTCGGATAGGTCTGATGCTCCTTTTGTTCGTGGCATGTTCCCGTATTGTTATCTGCAATTTTAATCAAATAATCTAAGTTAATTTATCTTGGTTATTAAAAAAAAATCAGAAATAAAATTTATCTTGGAGTCTATTCAATTCTGTCATGTCTGTGTATAATTGCAACCAGTTTGTTTATGATTGTGATGGATTCTGACCAAAATAATACATTTCTTGATGTATTTTTCATCTGAAGAGTTTGCTAAGTGGATCAAACGTGGAACTACACAATAGAATGGATCTTGCCGCCTGAGGAACTTTGAGAATTATTAAATGGTTATTATAAAA